GGGGCCGGGGCCGGGCCCGGGCAGCGCAGACCCCTCAGGGCCCCTCTCCGTCGGCAGCTCTCCCGCGGGCAGGGACCGCAGGCGCGCGGACACGCGAGCAGACCCACGGCGCCCGGTACGGCGCCCTTCCCACGGGGGCGTTCCGGTGTAAAAAGCACAAAGGGGGCATCGGCCCCGGCCGTCCGCGGGGCTGCGGGGGCTGCCGCCCGGCCCTGCGCCGCGGCTGCGCCGGCGCGGCTGCCGAAAGCCGGGCCGAAGCCCCGAGAAAGGCGGCGGTGGCGCCGCGGGGCCGGGAGATCCCCGGCAGGCGGGACAGACCCGGGAGATGCCCCCCCGCGAGGGGACATCTGGCAGCTGGGTGGACTTCTGCCGTGCGTGCTGCACAGTGAGGCCGCCCGAGACCCGGTTTCTTTGGCGACATTGCCCCGTGCAATGAATGCGAAGGTTCGTTTAGGCGAGCCGTCGCCGGCCGGGCTGCGGAGGGTGTCTGTCACCCTGACGCACCGGGCACCCGCCTTGCCGAGCGGGGCGGCGGGCAGGGAGGCTCAGGAACGGGCCGACAGCGGCTGCTCTGCGTTGATCCTTAGCCAAATCCTGCATCTGTCGGCGGTGCGGTTATGCAAGCAGCACGGTTACATAATTGGAATATAAAAACACAGGGAAAAGCACCGTACGGGTGTTACTGTACCTTAACGCGTCTGAAGTAAAGAGAAGGCAGTGCGGAAGGGTAAGCTGCTGTTGCAGGCACAGGTAGGAGCCAGAGTGAGGGATTCCTCTCTGCTCTTTCAGTGTGTTTCCTTTTTTTTTGTTTGTTTTCAGATGGTCTTAAACATCTGATAGCTCTAGGTTTTCAACTGTATGCATTACACGGTGATATTCAGATATATGCATATGGTCATATAGTATAAATGGAGGTCCAGCGTTATTAGGATACCCTGCCCAAAGATTTTTATAAAAATATTCTATTCAATAGTGAATCATAGCAATATGAAAAATCCTCTGAACGAGGAGGTAATCAGAAATAGGTTTTTAAAAACTGGCACAAAAAAGTAGTAAAAATGTGATGCTGAAAGTGATTTTCAATGCATTTTTCATTTCAGCAAAAATATTGATTTTATGGAACTGTCAAAAGTAGGGCAGACTGGTGACACTGCTTATAACCTTTATAAAAATTACACAGGAGTCCTGCTAGGAAAATAAACGCAACTGAACAGTGCTGAAAAGCCAAGGGGGGAGTAAAATACTAAACTAAGAGATTCATTTTTTTAGATAATGGGCCTAATGTGCTCTGATGTCCATGTGTTTTCGAGGGGGTGCCTGGCAGTGTGCAGGGGCATACCAACCCGACACTCCTCGAGGAATGACTGACGGAGGGCTCTGCATAACCCACCTGTGGTGAGCCTCGGCTGCACCAGGAGCAAGCAGGGCCCTACTCGCTGTGGGATCTGCCGTGTGTGATTTAGGGAGAGAAAAGGCTCTTAGGAATTAATGAAAACAGCTCAGCCTCTGGTAGAGGTCAGGCTTCTCATGGGGCTGCCCTGTACTAGAGAGGCTGCCCTGTTAGCTAGAAGTTACCTCCTCCCCTGCCCTGCTCCCACCACACCACACACGCAGCCGCTCCCGGTAGGGCTCTGGTGATGGTTTCTCCCAGTCCCTGAGCGACACTTTCATTTATGGTGGTGAGTGCCATTGCAGGCCTTAGGGAAGAGGACCAAAGTGACCGTGATCTTCAGCCTCCCTCATCAAGGTTAGATAAGGAGAGGTGGTTGACTGGGAGCAATCTGGTTTTTGACCTGCGCTAAAGAGCCTGTTGGAAAGCCACCAGCAGCTGTTGCAACAGATGGTGTCTAAAGAACAACAGCATCCACCGCTGATTGGGAACTGCTGGCCTTGCAGCGGCAGCAGGGCTTGTTCGACCCGTTCTGACTTTCCTACAACCTCCAGACTTTCGGGGATGTGGGAGGCGTTAAGCCCTCATGCCCCAGGGAGTACCAGGGTATCGCCTGGCTTCCTGGGAGAGACACCCCCCGGGTTTGTGGTTTTATGGGGGGCAGCCTGGGCTGGGAGGAGCAGGTGGGGTTTGCCTGTGCTTCAAGACTGACACAGTTCCGCCAGCCACCGGACTGTCTGGGTGTGGGTGAAGGTACGCACTAACACTGCAGAGAAGATAAATGCCTGGAAATTTCTCCCTACTATTGATGTCTTCCTGTAATATTTAAGATGTCTTGAAATAATATTTAGGGGGATGGGGGCTTTTCGCACAGCCCAGAATCACTTGAGAGACTTGTACATACCGGCTCCTCTGGAGGAAGCACAGGCCCCTGTGATGGCTATCTAGTTTTGTTTGCTTTGTCCCTGGTGGGTTTACCTGTTAACACTGTGCTGCAGATAAATACAAGCAGTGTAAAATAAATATAAATTTTCTTTTCTCTGCCTCAGTGCGGGGATCCAGCTTTGGCTTGTCCCAAGTGCTCTGCTGATGTGATACACGCATAACCTGGGTCTCCTTGTCTGGCCAGAAAGTGCCAGGGAGATCTCAGGGCTTCTAAAGATCACAGTTCACATAATTGCCAAGTGACAGCAATGTAGCTTTAGCAGCCACATTAATGAAACTCATTACTAATGATCTGGTTCTTTTGCTTTTTTCCAAGGCTGCCTCCTGACGGGGGAGAATGGTCTCTGAAGACAGATTGGGCTTTCATAAAGACAACTGCATACATCTTACGTTGAGTCAATTATTCTGTTCCCAAGCCAGCTGTGGAGTAGTGTACTGGGAACCTTACAATTTAAAGCACTTACAACCTCAAAATAGCCGCTTATTCATATGTAGTCCATCAAGATTAGTATTACATGACTATTATGTGGTAGGCCAGGGAAAATCAGGGCATTTGGAGGTCACATAGAGGAGTCCACATAATGTAGTGCATGAAGAGGCCTCTGCATTTCTCTAATCAGAGTTTATATTTAGAAGGGCATGGTCAGCATATACCAGGGTTTCTTCTAGCATGTGTAGAATTTTCTGCAGGCTTTCTCTCCAAATAGCGTTTGAGAAGACTTTTAAAACACTGATGAAGGTACTGCCTAATGAGGTAAGGAATGGAAGATAATGTTAATCAGTGCTAGCTGAAGAGTCATAGAAAAAGATGTGCTAAAATACCAAATGTGAGTTTGTTTCTATATTATACTTCTGTTTTATTCACTGTTGAAGTCCTTTCACAAGATATCACTTTGTCTGAAATATCAAAAGCCCTATAAACTTCAACCCTCCCCAGTGAAATTATGCCTTTTGGTTAGAAAAAAAAGCTAATTTCATCTTTTGCGCTCTAACATACTCAGCACACTAGGGAAGAGGTCATACTTAGCCCTCCTGTTATCCATTGCCTTTCTGAGCGAGTAAAGAAATTAACTTAAATCTACCACTAGAGAGAAAGTCCTCCTGTGAACAAGCAATGGCGGTGTTCGGAAGATTTAAGATGCTTTTGAAGATATACCTTCAGCCTCAACCCACTCACACTGGTGAACGTCAGTCTTAAGAGCTCTTGCTTGACATAATCCTTTACCATACAACTCTGTCTCCCTCTTTCATTTCTTTTTCCTTTCTGTATTTTCACCTTCAAAACAGATTTTACCAATTTCTTTCTTCATAAGACGTTTTATCTGAGTAAAAACATTTAACTTGTTCACTAAAATCTCTTTAGTAAATCTGATTCTGTTCTGACATCTTCCGTGGAACCCCACTGATCATGAGTGAGGGTAGAATTTGACTCTATTTATTTAAAAAGAGTAGGTGTTAAAGAAAGAGGCTTTAGCCTCATCTAAATTTGTCTAATACAGCTCACACTTGCAGTTTCTCTGGGAGAACATCTTAAGAGATACACAGACATACGAACACGGTCCTTTTGTTCTATATGTTTTTTTTTATCCTTTCTCAAGTGTGCATCAATCTCATGAAAATAATGTCTTGATGGGTAACTTTCTGCTGCAGCGATTACAATCTTTTGTAATAATTGAGTAGGCACAGTGCTTTGATCTAATATTGAAGAGATTAACTTGCCTTTAGAGATTCTACCCCACTATCTTTTTCAGACTTGATAGACAGGAATCCTTGCATTATTTTCTCCTCCTTGAGTAAACTAATTAGGGACAATTATACCTTATAAACATAAGTCCTTAATAGATAAAGAAAAGTGGAAGTGATACTTGTATATTAAAGCTTCACTTGGAGGTGAGAAAAGCTAGATATGGTAAAGGGAATAACAATAACTGACACCATCATGGTTGCATAGCAATGTTCATTTTAACCTCTCTTTCACTAGGAGCTTCTAGTTTTCTTCCCTCTTCACCTTCAAGTTGAATATTTTCAGGTTTGTGTTCTTCATGCTTTAAAAACCAGCAATAAAACTAATCTGAAATAATCTGAAAAAACTCTAAACACACCAAACTGGGGAAAAACACATTTTTAAGAAAATTTCTCTGAATGTTTGGTTGTTGTCTTTTTTAAGTTCTTGTTTTTGAAAGATTAGGGTTAGAAATTGTGGTTTTCTGGACAGCAGCAAATCTGAACGTAAGTATTGCAGTGACATTAGTTTCACAGTGATGAAGAATAGCGTATTGGCGTATGCATATTTCATGTATGTTTTCTGTGGTCAGAATGCACCACTGTTGCACCTACCAGGGGCTCACAGCAAGAGCAAAGTACAACTTGGCCTTTGTACAGGTTGCAGGACTGAACCCTGACTTACAAAGTGAATGGCTAAGAAATTGTTTTGTTCGTATGTACGTG